GCAGCCACTGCACTCCAGTCTGGGTGACAGAGTGGGACTCCAACTCAAAATAAACAAACAAACAAACAAATAAATAAAAATTAAAAATTTAATTTCTTGGCAGATGAAGGGTTTATCATATTTTCTGGGTTTTTTTGTTGTGTGTTTTCATTGAATTTGTATTTTTCAGTTAATTGATCATTTAATCTAAGGTGCTCCATTTATTGGCATAAAGTTATTTGTAATGTCACCTAATTCTTCAATATCTGTAGGACCTCTAATAATATTGCTTCTATTACTTACTCTTTATATTGATATTATGTTTTTTGTAGTCTTAACTAGTTTTGCTGGGAGATTATCAATTTTATTAATCTTTCAAAGAACCAACTTCTCACTTGGTTGATTTTCTTTATTATCGGTTTTCTATTTATGATTTTCCATTCTTATTTTTATTTCTTTTATTTTACTTGCTTTGGGCTTAATTTCTTCTTCTTCTTCTTTTTAAGCTACTTTGGTTTTATACTTTTCTTCTTTTCATTCCTGTATATGTAGTTTTTTAAAATGCTAGACATTTCCCTTTAAAGACTGCCTTAACTGAATCTTCTACATTTCCATAGGCCTTTTCGTTACCATATGGTTCAAATATTTTAAACTTTTTTCTTATGATTTGTTCTTTGATTCATGGATTATGTATATGTGTGATATTTAATATTCAGATAATTTGGGATTTTCAAGATATCTATTAGATTTAGTCCTTTCATTCTCAGAGAATGTACTCTGTATGATTTTAATTCTTTGAAACTTAATGAGGCTTATCTTATAGTCTGTCATATACTCCATCTTGATGAATTTTCCAATTACTGTTGTTTGTTATAGTGGTCTGTAAATGTTAATTTGGTCAAGTTGGTTCATGATCTTTTTCTTTTTCTTTTTTTTATGAGTTGGAGTCTCTGTTTTTCAGCTTAGAGTGCAGTGACACAATCATGGCTCACCACGGCCTCGATCTCCTGGTCTCAGACAATCCTTCTGCCTCAGCCTCTCGAGTAACTGGGACTTACTGGATTGTGCTACCATGTGGTTTTTTGTAGAGACAAGGTCTCACCTTGTTGCCCAGGCTCACCTTGAACTCCTGGCCTCAAATATTCCTCTGGCCTTGGCTGAAAGTGCTGGGATTACAGCATGACACCATGCCCAGCACATAGTGTTTGTCAAATCTATAGCTTAACTAATATATATATTTTT